GATCTACAACAGCATCGCGCGGCCGCGGAGACACCCGAGGACCGTAAGCCGATCGCCCTGCCGGACGAGAGGCTCGGCCATCGTTCGGTCTCTCCACCTGAGAAATTTCGCAGCCGCACACCCGACCTCGAGAGCGACCCAAAGAGGCGGAAGGAGGAGAAGCTAGGACATGTGAGTACCATTACCGGCATTGACACCATCCTACCGCCACTTTCTCGCGCGACGGCGGCGGCGGCGTCGCGACGCCCCGATGTGCTCGAATCGATCGGCAGTTCGATCGGCAGCCCGAATGTTTTACATTCCATTCCTACCATTTGATCTATCGGATCTTTTTAATTTAAAATTCTATTTTATATTTTAGAAATTAGTAATCGGACTTTTTATTTAATCCTCCGGAGCTGGACGGTATGTTTATTGAGCCCATTCAATTATAAATCTCTTTGTAAAATATGCCGAACAATTTAATTTTCTTTATAAACTAATGTATGTCCTACATAATAGGTTTCAAATTCTAGGAACATCCTCTGACCGTCTTTAAAATGTCATTTGGAGAACTATAGTGTCCGAAATAAACAGGGTGTTTCGAAATCCGCGAATCACAATTGGAAAGTTTTCGAAAAATTGAATAAAAAAGTTATGTGTACATCTTTATTTCAAGTAATAGTTTTTCAGATGCAAACATTTAAATATAATCAATTACAGAGATTACTCTTAGACGACCACTTATCCATGAATCGCGTAGTTCATAATTAACTATATTTAAACCCTTATTATTTTAACTATTGCTATAATTTAAACTATTGCTTAAAATAAAAATTTACAATTAACTTGTTTACCTTAACCTTCGAAAACAATCTTATTGTGATATTTCGATTCGCGAATTTCGGGACATTCTGTACATGTAATACTTAATATTCATTTCCTTTTTTCATACGAATTACGTCATCTTGATTCCTTGAAATTAATTAGTGCTTTTTAATTAATATTAATTTAAACTATATGGATCTTACAGACTAGCGTCAGTAACTGTGTTTACAGATTTTGTCAGCTTTGGAAGGTTAAAATGAGTTGTAAAGTTATAAATCGTTGGAAGCGGAGCGCTCTGTAATTTCACGAAAATCGACTTTTCCGTTTTGAGACTGTACTTCTTCAGCTGTTGAAAGTATTGTAGAAGAAAAAGTCAACGATCGGTAACGCACAGATGCGTGCTGTTGCATTGAATATTACACGTTGGTCAGTGCACACTTAACTATAGAGAGAGACTCGGCGTCGAAAAAGTTGCGCGTTACGGCGGAGGGCGCGTTTAGCTGAGAATTAAAATACTAATTGCAGCGACGTCGAAAGCCGATAAAACGGCCGACACTCTCGGCGATCAGGAGCGAGGGAGGAGGGCAAAGGGTGGTAGAATAAAGAGAGCGCGCGCGTTATATCGCTGGGAAGTAAACGTAAGAGTGATAAAAGGGCTGAGTTAGAATCGAGTTCGAGCCGCGCGATAAAGGATAGGAGAGCGTCGATGCTAACTTCCACTTAACCGTCGAATTCGCTGTAAAAAAAAAAAATAGAGGGAGAGCAAGAGGAGAGGATAGAAAGTATGCTCGATAGTCTCGCGTGCCGTCTATGTCGGCCTCTCTTCAGCGGGAGCGGGCGTCCCAAATGCAATCATGCATCGCGGAAGTTTCCATCGAAATCGGATTATCCTCGTTCGCCGCAAAGGCGGAAAAAAGGACCCGGACTTCCCGCCCGGTCAAGAACCTGCGCCGTATAACCCGCGAGAGTTCTTCCGTCTGTTAAGTCGGGCGATCGTCTATTTTGCTTAACGTCTGTTCCGAAGTGAAGTTCCATGAAAGTGTGTTTCTCTGTCCTGAATCACAACGACAAAAAAGCGCGCGAGCTCCTCTCCAGAGGCACGAACGCGCGGACTTCAGGGCAGAAGGGGGCGCCGACGGAAAAGGGGCGGGTGTATAATTAAAAACCGTGAAAACAGGCGAACAGTTAGCCGGGTCGCCGTGCGCGCACTAACTAAATTGGATTATTTTTCTCAGCTGCTCCCTTACCTCCTTCGGCCGCCTCACTTACCCCCTCTTCATCTCTCTTTATCTTGTTCCGCTTTTTTCTGGTTCTGTTATTTTCTTCTTTCATATTTTTTTTTTTTTTTTTACACCGATTAGAGCGTTTCTATCAGCGAATTTATCAGTAGCCGGCCATGTTGATACCATCAATATTCTTTTTCTTTCTCACGCGATCATATTCGTTGATTTGCATTAATTATTTATTTAAAAGACGTCATAAAATCGTTAAGAAACATGATCTATTATACAGGATGAATCGCGTAATTCGAACGGGTTATACCTCCTTCACGGTTGATAATAGGAAAAAGTGGCAAGGGGAAAAAACTAAACGATTTAATGATGCCTGATTTCTTATGAAGTTACCGTCCTCGTATTGCATGACTCACCCCTCTAGATGCGGGTGGAAGAAGAAAGTAAATTATCCACGAAATAAATAACGCTAATAATATATAATAAATGACTTTATTAAGGAATATTTTTGAACATAATGTTAAATTGAAGAAAGATGAAAGATATAATACGGAGCAAAACTATAAACTATTTTCTTCCTCCATTTGCCCTTTCAACTATCGAGGAAACGTATTTCCCAATGGTTCTTCGCCACGTTCTGATGACTTCAGACCACCACTGTTAAAATTACTTCTCGGACAACCGTATAGTTGTCGCGGCCAATTGTCGCGGCCAAACTGCTGGGTGAAAATCAAGGAATCGCCGGGCGACCAGCATCTTGCCTCCAGCTTTCTCCGCGTTCCCTTCCAACCATGCTTTCGTATTATCCTTCGTTCTTTCTGGATGTACTAACGATGCGTCGTTTACACGGGCAATCCCTTCGGTCCCAAGAGTGCTGAGAAGTTTGTTTGAAGTTGAGGCACTGGACAGATCCCCGCAACCGTGAGTTAACTTAAAGTCGTGATAAATAGAAAGCAATTTTAATGAAATTACAAAATCGTTATTACAATGTAATGATGTTGCAAAATGACAACGTTATATTATTTAACAATTTATAATTGTTAGATAATGTAGTTGTTAGAATATGAAGAATTCTATTTACATTCCATTTTGTAATAATCATCATAATGTTGAATTACAAAAATATTTATCATTAACATTTCAACAAGGGTTAGGTATCAAAATAAAATATTTTTACGACGGCGCCATCAATCGATTTTTTTTTCGTGATCGATATTCTCATAATCCATCTTTTTACTTATTTACATATGAATTTTTTAATTTTTTCGTATTATCAGAGGAAATTATAGTAAATGCTTTATATATCGAAATGCTTACTTTTTATGTAATACTTATTGAAATTTGTCACATTGAAATCGCGAATACATCTCCGGAGTGCAGAATAACATGATCAAGAACGCAACATCGTATCCGGTCGTATGCATATAATTCACGAGAAGACCGACGAAGACGAAGAGAGAGAGAGAGAGAGAGAGAGAGAGAGAGAGAGAGAGAGAGAGGGGGGAGGAAAGAGAAGGGGGACGCATCCGGAAATGAGTTTTCGTTCGTGTCCACGCTTAGGTTCTTAGGACTGCCGTCGAGCTTCGTACCTACATGTGCACGTCGAGAGAGGATTAGTCGTAGCTCAGGACACCACTACCACTATCTCTCTAACCCCTTTGCTTCATCCCCGAGGAAGCATTAATCAAAGGAGCAACCGTATGCCCTGTTTCCGTCGCGACGAAAGCTGCTGCCGGTTTCCCACATGAAATCGCTATATCGCGGGAAAGGGGTGTATTTTGTCTTACACATGTCGGATCGAAAATACTAGTCTTGCAAATCGAAAACTTTCAATGATTATTTTACAATGTTTTCTTAAATTTATCTAACCTTTAAACAAGCAGGTGACAACACGCTTAATTATTTTGCTAATCTTGTTCTGAAATAGGAAAACAAAAAATATTGCTCACTAGTTTCACATTTCATCGTTTCATAAGAATATAAATAATATAAATTTAACTTTATATATGCTATTAAAAAATATATTATAAAATTTGGTTTAGGCTGTTCTGAGCACCCACACCTATCTATTTATAAATTCAAATTTCAGCGATTAATTTTAATTCAAGTTCAAGTGTACAAAAAATCGCTTCAATATGTGTGTGTGATTAGTTTCCCGTATAAAAATAACTTATTATACTGCAGTGTAAACTAATACGCATACACATATACGCATACATAGAAGCCACTTTTTACACACTTGGATTTACAGTATTAAGTAGAAATATATATGTACGTTATTTGCGTACAGTTTTTTTATCTATTCGATATCATGGCTGAGAAAAAGGATCTATTTGCCTTTGTGGCAGCATTTCGAGAATAGTGTATCCAGTTCTCGATTACTGCTTTATTTGGTATAATTACTCCTACCGCGTAAATGGAGAGATTGTGTCTGAATGTCTGACTGTGACCTCATTTTCTCGTAATCGTCATCCCGGTCGGTTGTCACTACTACGGCGCTACTACATTGTGAAGCGAGGAGAGGCAAAAAAGATTCCCGATAAAATCCTGGGATCTACCTCGCGCGCCCGCGGCGGTCTCGGTAATGCGACGGAGCATAGTGCTCGTTGTGAAATAACGTTTCAAAAGCGTGTCGGATGGCAAAGTGCATTTTTCATAGCGGTCGAAATGAAATTGAAGACGGAAAATCTCAAACGTGTTAAATAGTGAAATTTTCGCGAGAGAGAGAGAGAGAGAGAGAAAGAGAGAGGCACGTGCTGCTGCATGATGAAAAGTAACTTCAGCTAGGTGCTAGAAGTATCTAATTAATCGTTCAATTAAAAATTCGTTCGACCTAGTAATTACGGATAAACTCGGAAACCCTTTTAGAAACGTGCTCTGGTTATCTGTTACAAGAATTATCGGCTTCTTCTCAAAGTTGAATTTTTTTCGTTCAGTTTTTTGTTTCGATATTCTACGTGCAAGGTACCGGAATGTTATTTTAGTGTTGTTTGAAAAAAAAAAAAAAAAAGAATCGCATTTGTTTACACTGAATGCGGAAGCATCCACGGATTTCACGGGATTAATCGAAATTCTCACGGCATTAGATGCGCGCTAATGAATGGGAGTAGTTGAATTCGAGGCGGAATCGAT